ATATATATATATATATATATATATATATATATATAGGGTTAGGTTCACGTGAGACCAAGTGTTTTTCATAAGATCTGTAAGACCAATTTATATTCATTGATCAACTTTATAAGTTAATGATATAACGGTATAAAGTTGCACGGTAGCAATTTTGTGATTGTGGAGAAGTCTCGTGGCAATTTTATTATTATGAATGTTCAGATTGTAGATCTAATTCAAATGTTGAGAATTGGCCTTATGGGTCTCAAGAAAAACGTCTCATATGATTCCAAGGTCTCTCTGTTTATATAAATTTTGGATTTGTATAACTAAAAACAAATTTTATATAATATATATTTTAAATGACAGGTTATAGATAATCGTTATATTCAACAAGAATATAAAAAAAATATTCAACCTTACATATCTTAATTAATTAATAAATTCTCGAGAACATAGTAATTAAATTAAATATTTAGTTAAAATCATTCATCAAATTTTATTATTTATAAAAGAAAAGAAATATAACTTTTAAACTTTTATGTAATTTACAAAAGCGATATTAAAATTGTTATATATACATTTGACGAAGTGTGCGAGTTCTATTTATGCGTTTCACCGAAAGAGATGACAATAGAGATGGAAGATGTAGCTGGTTGGTAACGACGATCTTACACATCTATACATATATATTTGAGATGTCACCATATGATTGGTGTATTTATAAATTACAAAATCTAGTTCATAAAGTTGTCAACATTCCCTTGATTGATGGTCATGCATGAATTAGGAGGTGCGAAAATCATATCCAAGAATGGCTTAAAAAAGATCAATGAAGGAAATCTGGTTACGGTTTTTTTTTATAGGACATGATGTCAAGGATCTTCATCTGGGTAAGTGTGTGAAATGGGTTGGAGCACGCATCCAGGTATATCAGACACTTTAAACAAAAATGATGATTTACAGGTTTTAATTCATTGAGTTGGCCACTTGCTACTTATTCAATCTCTATAAATTATTTTACTGATGATATGTTCTTTAAATGCAATTACATTTCAATCGCTTGTTTGATTGACGATCAAATTTTCTTTTTCTTTACCTCAGGGTTATGTGAAAACAGAAAGCCTCATTTATTGGCTTTGCTCCAAAAATAATGTGAGTGAAACTTCAAACTCCAAGGAGGGGGGGGGGGAGGGTAGATCCAATAACTTAACTGATCGGGGGAGGACCTAGGGGTGTCAAAAAACACAGTACTGAATAACCAAACTAAACCAAAACGATTTTGGGTTAAATATAACGGTTCAGTTAATCCCTTATTTGGTTCCGTTTACGGATCCTTTTTTAACTATTTTGGTTAAACCAAACAGCACATTATACTAGTATTTTATATACTTTACTTCTAGATGAAATGGTTTGAACATATAGAAAGAACAAACCACATATGTGACACAAATCAAATAAAAAGACAACATTTTGTAGGCAACAAACAATTTATCAACAGATTACAGTCTGGAGCAATAAGCAATTTTGTAACAAATTAGCGTCTGTAGCAATAAGCAATTTGTAAGCAAATGGCCAAGAAAACAATTAGGATGAAGGGTTTGAGAAATACCGGAAGAAAAATCGTTTAGGGTTTAAGATTGTGATTAGATACAAGATGGGATGTTTTCTGGCCCAATTTATGACCAGAGAGTATATGAGAAAATCACAAATTTACAAAAAAAATCGATTAGGGTTTTTGGAATTGCTGAATAACATGCAAGAAAAGACCAGTCAATACCTGTACAAAGGTCGCAGTTCGCAAGAGGCTAGAGTGGAGTAAAAACGTGACATTGTAAACCGGGTATAAGTGAAACATACGTATTGTAAAATGAATATATGATAAATCCTAGTTTAGATGGAAAAAAAATCATATATAATAGCACATGATGCATTAATTCTCAAAAGAAGGTCTCATTATATAAGCATCTCTTCTTGATGAATATATATATATATATATATATATATATATATATGGTTAGTGTCACAACAAGAAGATCGATTTTAGAAAACTTGTTATGACGTTTAAAAACGTCATATAAACTTATTGTAGATAGAACCCTAAATTTTTTGGCTCCATAAAATCAAGTCCTATGAGGCACTCTATTAGCACATTTGAACACTTTAAGCGTCCTATAAACATGATTTTGTTATAATGTTTTATTTAAACTTAAATACAAAAATATTATTTTATTTATTAAATGAATGTTAAAACAATAGGTAATTAGTTGCGAGAGACAAAAATAGGTTTCAAAAAAGGAGAACGGGAAAAAAATATAACAATTTCTATAAAAAGAATATTAGATATCATCGAACAGGTGACGTCCAATACTATTGGCCCACCTAATCTCAATAGAAGATTTTGAATCATTTATGATCTCAAACGATCTTTCATTTAGAAATTCCCCGTCCCAAAAATTTGGAAGGTATGTTACATCTTTGGCCCTTCCTATTTCTATTCCTGTTGAATCATCATCACCTTGACTTCTCCTAGGGACAAGTTCAACCTTTAATTTAACACAACTTCTAAAAGAAAGTGAAAGGGTGGTGTGGGTTGAATTCCACCATGAGGTGTTCCTCAATGAACCAAAGGATATATAGCAAATGGCCTCTGCTCTCATAGTTTCCTCTTCATGCTCAGTTTTATTAGACACCTCTAAAGCATCATCTTCATTTTCCCTACCCAATACATCCTTGATAACAATTAGTCCGTCACCCAACCAGTTAACTTTATCAACGTATACTAAGAATCCACTAAATTCATTGTACCAATTCCATGGAAGTTGTAACGTAAATGTTCCCAGCGCAAAGCCTCTTATTGGAACATAACATTCTTCAAATAGGATACTAATAAAGTAGTCTTCAATAGCATTTCCCTGTCATGATGAATATTATTAGTATTGTAATTTTGTTTTGGTCTATACAAATAAATATTGAAATTCAATAAGACATATACCTGAAGCATGGATTGCAATACCCTCTCGCCATTACAATTGCTTGTTGAAAGTGTGACTTTCCACAACCATTTATGATGGTTTGTTGGAAAATCTCCAATTTTAAGAGACGTGCACCCGCATGCAATGAGAACAGATATGCTTGATGGGAGATCCGTTAATTCCACAAGGTTATAGCAACCAAACAGGTCGATGACTTTTAGATGAGGAAGTTGCGAGAGGCTAGAAGGCAATCGTGAAAAAGCATTTTTACTTAGGTCTAATACTTGTAGGTTGGATAACTCCTCCCAAAAAACAGAGGAGATGTCTTCATCTACCAAATTGCACCCTCCAAGATTCAACCTTCTTAAAGAACGTGGAAAACCAAGAAATCCATTCACTGCTCCTGGCTGAAGATTGTTCAAAGATAAAGAAAGCACATTTAAATAACATTCTGCATTGAAGAGGCCTTCTGTTGGCATGTTCTTAAGTTGATCACAACCGTCAAGATAAAGCATTTGCAGATGTTTTAAGAGATGGAAGTTGCCTTCAATACTATGCAGATATCTACATGACCTCAAATCAAGAGAAACAACGTTTTTACAGTATTGTCCAATTGATGAGGGTACAATTTCTATCCCACTTCCTCTCAAACTAAGCTTTACCAAGTTGTCCATGCTGGTTTGAATCTCTGGGAACTTACGAAGATTACGGCAAAGAGAGAGCATGAGTCTCCAACTTTTTCATTTGGAAGATGGGTGGAAACAGTTCAAGGCTTATACAATAGTCCATGGCCAAGAAAATAAGCCTTTCATGATATCCAATTGATGGATGAATCTCTTTTAAACTCCAACAATGCCTTAATATCATTCTTTCAAGACATGGAAGTCCATCAATATCCGGTGTCCTGACTAGCTTTGTGGAACGAGTGAGGTCGAGCACTTTCAAATTTGGGAGATGCTGTTGTATACAGTAGCACACAAGTCAATTATATCTGTATTCTTTAATATCATATATAGAGTGTATATATGATAACTAACACAAATTAATTATATTTTCCATAAACAAATTAAAACGAGCCATGGATTGG